AAGTAAAATAAGGGTTACTTGAACACAAGCATTACTATACACCACAGTTGATCTGATAACCTAGAGGGTACTAAGTGCCTAAGGAGGTAGCATATGCAGCAGGGATATGCTGGACGAAGGGATGATTCATATCCTGGGCCAGACGGAGTAGGATGGGGGCAAGATTTCATCACCTTCCTCAGAACATTGCCCAATTTAGAACTTATGAATTGTTTATTTCTGGAATTTTCTATGTAATATTTTCAGATCCAAGTTGACCATGGATAACTGAAACTGTGGAAAGTGAAACCATGGATAAGGAAGGACTATTGTATTTATTTCCTTACTTGTAACAGGCTAGTACTGGGTGCTGTTGAGTTAGCAGTGATCGGAACAGAGGGCATACCCCTACCCTCTTGGAGCTGAAATTCTGTGAGGGAAAAATAGGACACATAAGTAAAATATGAAGTGTATTGGATGGTGGTAAGTTCTAAGGAGAAAAAGCAGGAGAGGGCTGCAGAGGGTCTGGGCTGTGTTTGTCTCTTGGAGGTCTGTTAGTGTCCATTATCTCTGAGAGTGTGTGTACCTTTATGCCCCAGGTTCCAAAGTATAGGTGATTCTATCTCTCTCGGGGGCCATGTGGGTATGGCTGTTATTGTCCATGTTACCGAGTTGTATTCAGGCAGGAGTGAGTCTCCTGCATGACTGTGGTGTTTCTTTGTCTCTGTGTATGTTTCCCATTCTGTGCATCATAACCTAATGTTGGCCATTTGGATGTCTTCTTTGAAAAAAGTCTTCTGCCTGTTTTTAAATCCGATTGTTTAGGTTTTTTGCTATTGTGTTGTGTGAGTTCTTTATAATTTTGGATATTAACCCCTTATCAGATACACGACTTGCAAAATATTTTCTCCCATTCTGTTGGTTGCCTTTTCACTTTGTTAATGGAGAAAAGTTTCCTGAAGTGATTAAAAATACAACTGTCTCAACCACCTCACACCCATTAGGATGGCTACTATAAAAAAAACAAACAAACCAGAAAATAGCAAGTGTTGGTGAGGATGTGGAGAAATTGGAACCATTGTGCACTGTGAGTGGGAATGTAATATCGCAAAGTTGCTATGGAAGCCAATATGGCAGTTCCTCAAATATTAAAAATAGAATTACCATATTATCCAGCAATTGCACTTCTGAGTATATACCCAAAAGAGTTTCCAAGCAGGGACTCAAAGAGATATTTGTACATCCATGCCTATAGCAGTATTATTCATAATAGCCAAGAGGTGGAAACAACCCAAGTGTCCATTGATGGATGGATGAATAAACAAAATGTGGTATATACATACAATGGAGTATTGTTCAGTATTAAAAAGGAAGGAAATTCTGACACATGCTTCAATATGAATGAATCCTGAAAACATTATGCTCAGTGAAATAAGCCAGTCACAAAAAAGACAAGTACATAGAGATGGAAGTTAAAATGGTGGTTGCCAGTGGGGAGGTGGGGAGGGGGCAAAATGGGGAATTATAGTTTAATGGGAATATAGTTTCAGGGTTTTTTTTTTTCTTTTGGTGAGGAAGAGTAGCCCTGAGCTAACATCCGTTGCCAATCCTCCTCTTTTTGTTGAGGAAGATTGGCCCTGGGCTAACATCCGTGCCCATCTTCCTCTACTTTATGTGGGACACCGCCACAGCATGGCTTGACAAGCAGTGCATCGGTCTGCACCCGGGGTTCTGAACCTGCAAACCCCAGGCAGTGGAAGCAGAGTACACGAACTTAACCACTACACCACCAGGGGGCCCCTACAGTTTCAGTTTTGCAAGATGAAAAGAGCTCTGGAGATGTATGGTGGTGATAGTTACACAGCAGTGTGAATGTACTTAATGCCCCTGAACTGTATGCTTAAATATGGTTAAGATGGTAAATTTTATGTGTATTTTACCACAGTTTTTACACATACAACTATCCCAAATTCAGAACCAAATTCATCCAATAATAGTCAGTCTATCCCTGGAGTGGAGGGAAGGGCATGTCATGTAGTGCTGGAGTATTTGTTATCTCTTGCTGCATAAAAATATTACCTCAAAACCTACAAATTAAAACATTTATTTTGCTAACAAATCTGCTATTTGGCCAGGGCTGGGTATTGACATCTCTGCTCCACTCCACCTCCACACTTGAACCAGTTGGAGTGTCCTTTTGGCCAACTAGTTTTTACAAGGCCTACCATATCTTTTTATCCCGTGGATCATAGGGACGTTTACAGCAAATAGTGTTAACACATAAAACAGTACGATATCTTTCCCCCCCTTTTAGCAAAAGTGTTCTTTTGAGTTCACCATCAGTAAATCTGGTCTTTATCCAGTCTGAAACAAAATCAAAGCCAAGCCATAAAATGACAACGATATTCTCTTGGCTTGGACTCTAAAACTACTATTCACTGTCTTTTCCAATCTTCTAAAACAGCCTGTCTTTAGTTGTCCTTTTCTCGGGTATGGGGGGTGTGTTACAGGGGCTGTCACTAGACGGTAGCAGAGAGCATTGGTCAGGTGGCAACAGAGGGTTAAGCCAGCTCAAGCATTTCCAGACAGCCTGTTTTTGGAGGCTTCAGGATGCTGCTCAGGTCAAGGCTGCAGCTGAGGGGCCTCCCCTCTGCACATGCATGGGGCTTGTGTGTCTCTGCAAAAGCTTCTGCTTATGACCTGTGGGTTCTGCCAAATGGCTGCTAGGGTACTTGAAGCTTCTTTGGACAAGAGGCTGCCATTTCGTGCCACCTGGCTTTGTGATCACAATTGTCTCACGTGTGCACCCCTCTCTGCATGTGGGTCTGAGCTGAGCCAACCTGGTGGCTTCACCTCCCTTTTGTTGAGAGCATCCCAGCCACAAACATGGGTCCACTGAGTCATGAATTTACCTCTGCCCCCCACCCGAGTCAGGAATTTTATATGGAAAGTAAATGTATGGAAATCTCCACAACTTGCCATCCATAAAACTTCTTTCCCGATGGACTAAAGATAAATGTGAAAACTTAAACAATTTAAGAAGGAGATCATCTTTATGAATTCGGAATAAGAAAAGTTTCTTTAAAAAAACACAAATAGTAACCATAAAAGATAAGCAATTTACATACAGCTGAAGAGAGATTTAGTGAAAAGTAAGATAACATAGAAGAAAATAGCCAGGATGAAACACAGAGAGGCAAAACTGATTGCAAGTACAGAGAGGAGAGTATGAGACATTATGATATTCAAAATTATGGACCTGGGAATTTGGTAAAGGGGCATAAAATTATACCTATGGCAGAACTCTGTCCAGTACCTATGTGAAATATAATTTAGATACTAAAACTATCAAACCTCAATAAACCCAACAGCTCACTCTATCCTCTCCTCCTGAATGATAAAATCCTGTCTGTGAGGAGCATGGGGTACAAACTCTCCAGAATATCATACTGTTCCACATAATTTCTTTTTCCTCTAAGGAAACCAGGTCACCAGCACTGTTACTAAAGTAATTCTTCCTCAGATGGAAGTGGAGCTAAAAGAGATGCATCATTTGTAGAGGAAAATGAACTCAGGAAAGCAAAACACTTAAGATGGAGGCATAGCTTTGAACTCTTTTAGCTGCTACACCAATTGGATGATCACTTACTTGCCTCAGTCTCAAGTGTAAAAATGAACCATAATATCTACAGTGGCCATTACAATTTTTATGAGGGTGAAATGAGGCAATATAATAAATGCATGGTAAACTAAAATGGTACATACATATCAACGTATGCAAATAGAGATACTAAATTTTTATCTATAGCGTGATTGAAGTGCTGTGCACTCTCTGGTGCTTGAGGACCATGTGTAATCTAGGAATGTAGTGTAGCTTCATGACAATCTGTATTGAAATCCAGGCAAACCTGTGAATTGGGCCTATGATCTTGGGTTAGTTGAATTATGCCTCTGAGCATCAGTTTCTTCATCTGTAGAGAGAAGGCCATAACTGTCACCTATGCTATATGATTAAGTGCCATAAATTATGTAAATTGGTCTGTAGAGTGTCTTGAACAGAAGAGTTCAAAGGACTTTCATGTAGTCATTTAAAGACATCATAGGTAGGATCTGAACAATAGTTACATTGGGAAAAGAAGTTTTTTGGCTATACTGGGCATTGACTTCTCCATTACAAAAATGGCTCCAACCAGTGGGATATTCTATTTGATGAAAATTCTGACATAAATGAAATGAAAGTAAAGCTCCTCACGTTCTAGGGAACTTTTTACATGTGGGACATGTGTGAACACAACTGTGACACTAGAGAAAGAACACCAATCTGTTTCAGCTGAGCTCTTTGAGCTTTTCAGGACTTCACAGTGAGAATCAGGTACCCAATAAATGATAGGCTCTAGGGCTACAGAATATAGTGGGAATCACTACTTGTCAGGGGACAACTTCACAGGCTCCACATTCACATTCTCCACAGGCTCTACTTCTGTTTCACTGAGGAGCATCTCATGAGGGGCATTGTAGACAGTGTAACTAGCATCCACGATGGTCCTGTTAAAAAAGGTGCAGAGGCACGATCTCCAAGAAAGCAGCCAGAGGGCATCCTTCCAAAACTTCACAGTCGGATTCAGAAAAAATAGCCCTGGAAGCAATTAATAAATAAATAGCCATAGTTCCCCAAGGAAAACATCGTCTGGGTATTTAGAAGGATTAGCTGTCTACACAAATGTTTGAACTGGAAGATTCATGGTTTAGACATGAAAAAGCAAAAGTCCCTTGGAAAGAGGCAAGCATGGACTCTTTGTCACTGGTGGGGAAATCCCACAGTGTGGTGATAGTCTGGAGTCTATTAGTGTACTGATGTCCCCAAACCAGTAGTCACATTGGTGAATCTATGACTCTGGAGAGTAAAGCCCAATATGACAATGATTAGAATCACTCAGTAACACCCATCCTCTCCAGAAAGGCTGTACAGATACTGCTCCTGACCATTTCCTCCCCCAAGTCCCAGAGGAGCTGCCCATCTTTCATGTGATCTGAGACAAACAGTCCACCTAGGTCCAGCCAAAATACAGCAATACCACCACGCCCAGGGCCAGAGGAGCATCTCTGGAGGCTGTCAGATGAGCACTGACCTTTGCCAATCAGAAGATGAAAAGAATCACAGGTGATCTGAATGAAACGAGAACGGCAAGGTCCATTTTTCTACTAGTGTTAATGCAATGGGAACGTTGCAGGGCAGTAGCATCATCAATCACCCATAGGAACCATAGGGAAGAAGTTCTGGAAGTTCAGGAAGGTGACTAATAAAAAGAATTAAGAGAGGGAGATGTCTCTATTTCATTATCTGTGCTTCTTCCTTCCTCTAGGAGTTACCTGGAAAACAATAGTTAGACGCAGGTTTCCTGGAAATCGCTGTGATTATTTATTTAAGTCAGTAACACTCAGTCTTTCTGTTTTATCTTTTAACTTCTCATCTCCAGCTTACGTAAAGGGCCCACCACATCAAGAATGCGATGTGTTCTAGTTGTCCCCTGGGAAAAGTGCATAGGTCTAGTTCCCCCCTCCCACACTGCTGAGAGCTGTGAGAGCACATTTCATTCTTCTCTCCCACCTACCTTCAATCACACCTGTGGGAATTTGTATGCTTCCAATAGTGTCCACCCCCCAATCTGAGCAGAAAATGCTGATACAGTTCCTGCAATGATGGCTATGAACATGTTCTGCTTCTCATAAGTAAAATTAGTGATGGTCTTGCCCCATCTTGACAGCCACCTCAGGGTGCTCTCCAAGTTCCTTTGATCACTGTGGTAGACACTGGAGACATGATATCCTATGGGACTTTCTGTTGATCTCCTCAATGGCAAACACAAAGGCCAGAACGTTCTTGGTGCATCCCCCTGCACTGAGGGAAGTGCATTAGGAACCAGGGTCCATCCAGGGCTTTGTCTAAAACAGAAATGACTTTATTCTTATGCATTAGCCCTGTTAAACTCCTCACTGGGGAACAGATTGTTCTCGAACCTTGGAGGAACTCTTAAGCAGGTGCCACCAATTGTTCTCTTAGTTTCTTGCAGGTTCTAGAAGTCCTCTGGTCACTTTCAGACACAGTGACTGCTGGGCCAGCACAAGTACTCAGAAACCAGGGCCTGAGAGGCTTCCCATTGAAAGAAAGGACCAAACCAGACCAGTCAAAAACCAAACATTTCTATTTTTATCCCAAATATTTATCAGTACACTAATCCATGACACGATGTCTGAAAACACAATGCTCAACATATAGAATTGGAAAGAAAAAGCAAATAAAATATTGTCATTGGAGATGATAACGTGTTTTGTTTTGTTTTTTCTTTTTAGAATCATACAATATTCGTCCTTTTGTGACTGGCTTATTTCACTTAGCATTACATCCTTCAGGTTCATCCATGTTGTGGCATGTGTCAAATTTCCTTCCTTTTAAAGGATGAATAATATTCTATTGTATCATATATACCTGTTGGTTCCCAACCTCAGGAGTTCCCTGGGTGAAATTCAAAACTGGCCCCTGTACACGGAGGACAAGGAGAGACTGAAAAGGCAGACCCTCCAGATTGGTAGGTGGCAGGTTTCATAAGCAAGGGAATTGCTTGTCTTGAGTGGCCAGAAGACAGTAGATCTCCACACTCATCCTTAAATGTTTATATAGAAGCCTTAGCTGGGTTCAGTCACATATTCAGTCCAGGTGGTCTCATCACCTTAGTCTGTCAAGGCTACATACTTGAAATGGCTGTTAGTATGGGAATAGCAGGCAGAGTACATTCCAAAGACAGCGGGGGAGGAAAGGAGCCTCTGATTGCTTGGGTCCAGCTCGATGATCATCCTCTCGATGACCTCCTCCAACAATACCACATTTTTAGAGTTGATTTTTATATATACTGTGAAATGCTAAGTTACGTATACTCGTGAGTCTGATTCTGGGCTCATTATTCTAGTCCATCAGCCAATTTGTTTGTCCTTGCACCCATACCATATCCATGCATACTGTCTTTATTATGGTTTTGTATAATTGTTGATATTTGATAGGGCAAGTCCCTTATCCTTGATTTTCTTCTTCAGAAGTGCCCTGGCTGTTGCCTTTTCCTTTTCTATGTAGATTTTGCAATCATTTTATCAAGTCCCATAGAAAATCCTATCACATTTTGGTTGACATTGTTTTCACTCTATAGATTAATTTGGGAAGAACTGACATCTTTTTGATATTGAGTCTTTCTATTTATGAATATGGTGTATGTCCATTTATTTAAATCTTTAAAAATATTTTTAATAAGTTTTGTGACTTTCTTCCTTGGGGCATTGCATATCTTTTGTTATACTTATTCCTAGGTACTTGGTATTCTCTGATTTACAATGGTACCCTCTCTTTAATTAGGTTTTCCAGTTTGCTGATAGTTTAATGAAAATACAACTGACTTTTTAAATATATTAATTTTATAACCAGTCAACTTGCCAAACTCTCCTATTTTTTCTAATAATTTATCTGTAGATTTTTTTGTGTTTTCAATGTAAACCATCACATCAGTTGCAAACAATAAATTTTATTTCTTCTCTTCCAGACTTTATGCCTGTGATTTCTTTCTCTTATTTTATTTCACTATCTAGGGATTTCAATGCCACATTAAGTGGAGGTAATTATAGTGAGCATCATGGTATTATTCTTTATTTTATTTAAATATAATCAACATATAACATTATATTAGATTCAGGCGTACATCATAACTTTGCAAAATGATCACCACAATAAGTCTAGTTAACATCCATCTCCATACAGTTACAATTTTTTTCTTGTGATGAGAACTTTTAAGATCTATTCTCTTAGCAACTTTTAAATATACCATACAATATTATTAACTATAGTCAGCATGCTGTACAGCACATCCCCATGACTTGTGTGTGTGGGGGGGTGTGTTTAGTCATTGCTGCATCTCCAGCAGCAAGAAACGCCTGTTGAAGGACCAAGTTCAGATACTTCCATGTTCACATACAAATAATAGGGGTTTTGTCCATACCTCATAACAGACCCATATCCACGTGGACTTCAAAAGTGGACAGGTCTTATCCCCTTCCCACGTGGCAGAGTGGTCTCCCTTGTCACCCAAAACAAATCCCAAGGGAGTGTCTCTCAGCCGACCTGGTGACAGAGGGGACCTCACACTGATGAGGTCACAGTGACCCCACCCACCCCATCCCCGCATGGCCCTAAGAAACCGCCAAGGGGGCATCACCACCACATGGCAGGCACCTGAGGCCCTGAGAGTCCAGGGACAATATCCCTTGTCAAGGATGCTCCAGCTGGTCACTCTGCTTTAAATTTCTTCCACGAACAGGCCCCTCGCTACCTGACAGTAGAGAGGGTTTCGGTTGTCCCCTTGTTTTCAGCAGGGAACCGAGTGTGGGCTGCAAAAGTGTCTGTCCCTTCTTCAGCTGTCACGTCCTCTGTATCCAGGGACTTCGCTGCAGTGTCCTTAGCACCTAATGGCCTTTGCTGTCTTTAGCTGCCTCCCCGAGGCAGCCACGGTAGAAGGAAGGAAGGTTGAGGCCTCAGGAAATCGCCTGGTCTCCCTTCTCTCTGTCCGACCGGAAGCGGATGTGAGTTCCAGTAAGGCGGGACACGAGGGCAGGAATTTCCGCTGATTCTGGCCCCGCCCCATGTCCCCTCTGGCTCTTCCGGAAAACCAGGGGCTCTGCATCCAGCACAGAAGAAACAGTCCGCTTGCGCCTGGGCACGGTGTAAAGGTCAGAGTTCCCAGCTGCCTCTGGGATGGGGGGGTTTGAAGCGGATGGAAGGCCGCGTTGCATGACGGGAGCAGGATCGTGGCCTCTGAGGGCTGTCTGTCTTTGACCTACATTCACCAAGGGGCTCAGGTTCCTTGGGGGGCTGTCCTAGGAAGTGAGTGGCCATCGGGTATGGAGGGGCTGGCTCTTCAGACCTTTCCTGGAGCCTGGGAATGACTAGGGAGCCAGACTTGAGGTGGCTGTAGGTGTGGACTGCGCCTGTGCGGCTCTGAGCCTCAGGCCCGAGTGCTCCTGATCCGAGGCGGTTCGCCGGGACCCAGGGGCTGTGAGTGCGTATGCGTGCCTCTGTGGGCAGAGCGTGGAGGCGTGTGACGTGGGCGTGGCCAGCGGGCACGTGCGGCTGAGCTGATGATGCCAGATCCGGTTCCTCTGCCCGAGGGGTGTGGGTAACAGTCCCGAGGCCTGAATGCCTCTGTTTCCTACTCCCTGTCACCTCACTGACACGTGCTGCTGCTCCAGGGAAATAGTCCCGAGGTGTGGGCAGAGTGGATCCCTTAATGAAGTCTCTTAAAAAGACACAGAACTGGGCTTGGTAATTTGAGAGCTGAAATGGATTATGATGTAATAGCCAAAGATTAGGGTCCTGCCCAGGAGGGCCCTCATTGAGAAAACTAGGGTCTGCCTTTATGTTTAAGACCTACAGTGTTTCCAGAGCTCGGATCCCAAGGACCCTGGAGGACAGATGCCCTCTTACTTCCCCTTGGCTAAGTCTCCGAGGTGAGGGCCGGTGTAGCCCTGGAGGGCGTGCCCTAACTTCTGATTGGGTTCCAAGAAAGGCCTGATGGCTCGAGAGTCCTTCTTTCCCATATCGCCGTTCTCTGTAAGGTTGTCAAGGTGGAAAGAATTATTCTTGCTTATCTAAAAATCTAGGTTCAGGTGTCTGCTTCTCGATTTGCATGAAGAGTGTGTTTGTTTTCTGCAGTTGGTCTAGAAATATGCAATACTGTTTATAACAGTAAAATTCCGTCTTTTCAGTGTAGTTCTGAGTTTTCACAAATGCACACAGTGGTACCAACAATCATAATACAGACTAGCCCATCCTCCCTAAATGATCACTAGCTCTGCCCCTTTGTAGTCAAGCCCTCCCCCACCCTTAGACCCTGATCTGTTCTAGACTCCTAAACCTTAACTTTTTCCAAAATGCCATATAATAGAATCAGGTGCTATGTAGCATTTTGAGTCAGATATATATTTGATCTCGTATTTTTAAAACTGGGTATTT